GAACTGGCTTTGGAATTTGCTGTGCGGGAGTGGGAAGAAACCCAATTGCTGGCATCTCAGAGTTGTGCAGAGCTGAACCTGGCTTCCACTTGGGTCGCATTGCGAGTGACTGGAAGCATTTGAGATGGCAATGAAAGCAAACGTCTAAGACCGGGACAGACGCCCAGAGAACTAAGAGCGGCGGTTGGACTTGAGCCAAGGGTCCCAGGTCTTGAGGCTGGATTCTCCATGTTGGGGTCTCGGCTTCCGAAGCCACTTTCGAGTGAAGAGTTGGGCCAATCGCCCTTCACTCGGGTCTCAAAGACAGATTCCTAGCGGAGCTGTGTTGTTCGTTAGGTGTGGTGAAAATACATGAACATCTGCAGGTTCTCCCTGAAATGGTAGGGGCTGCTTTTGGTGTCCACAAGGGAAATCCTCACTTCCTGAGTTCCTTTTCGTGATACTTGTTGGAAAGACCATTTTGGTGGCAAATAAAAGGTTTGAACTGTTTTTGGCCAATCCACTCAGGAAGCAAGGCTCCGTCGGGATACGGTGCTAGGGCTGTTTCCAGACCCCCTCTTTAGCCCGGGTAACCCCCCCCCCCGACTGAGGCATCGCGCCTTTCCGAGGCCGGATTCGGCTCAAGATCCGATACCGAGACCAATTCACGGCATGAAATTCAGCGCGCCCCTGCTGTGGGCCCTGTGCGTTGTGGGCATTCTGGCCGAAGAAAGGTGCCACAAGGCTGGCGCGGGAGGGGGGGCTGGAAAATAGATTTGCGGCGGAAAACGCGTTGCGGTTTTGAAGTTGCTGAAGCTGGCAGATCCAAACAGCTGTTCACTCCGAATTGACAAACCACGTTCATTTTCCTCTGTGGCCCATTGAGAAGATCAACTTCACCTAGGGAACACCCTAATCTACCTGGTTGATCCGACGCATGTCAAGCGTCTACAGATGCTCTAAACTGCCTCTGGAGTTCTTTGTTTGCCTTGCATCCCATTCCCCAGAGGCTAACGCTTCGATGTTTTTTGAAGACGGAAAGCACGAGCACAGAGTCCGTGCTTTTGTTTTGTGCTTCAAAGGGATGCAACCCCTCGCAACTCGTTTTATTGAAGATGGCCTTGGCAAGTTCCTGGTTGATCTTCCGGGTCAGGGCTGGTCTTTGGATCCCTCGCTTCTGATTTGGCCAAGTTTGGGCAACCAACTCCAGAGGTCCAACCTTTGAGTGCTTGTGTGGGGATGGGGGAGTGAATGTGAAGGCGCAAGGGCGGGTTAGAAAGACATTCTTTAAAGGGATTTGGATGCCAACACTGCTTGGTGCTTTGAGATAATGAGTTGGAGCCAAGGCCTTGGTTTTTTCAAGTCAAACTTACACTGTTCACCGCCAGTCCTGCGAATATGTGTTGTCGCACAAATCCCGGTTCTTCAGTGGCATCCTTTCTCCGATACTCTTTCTTTGGTGACTTCCCCAAGGTTTCTTTCTACCGGTGGTTGCGACTGGGAGAATTCTCCTTGCCAAAACGTGCCAGGGGCTTGGGCTGGTGCAGAGGCAGCACGAAGTGGTGAAGAGTAGCCCTCCGGTGGAAGCGCCCTTCATCCTCTACAGCCTTGGCGCGGGCAGGCGGGAATCCAAAAAAAAGCGCCCGTTGAAAGCGAGGTTCTTTACCTCACCTAACTGTCACGTGCTTTTTGGAATGACTTGCCAGTGGCAAACAATTGTACAGTATTGGTGGGGATGGCGTGTTTTCGCACATTAAAAAAAGGACTTATTTTTGTGTCAGCCACTCAGGTGAGTTACAAAGCTCCCGGGGCCTAATCCTAATCTGGCTTCAACCTGGCCTCAGCTCACGCACATCGGAACCCGCTCAGCTTTTAGTTGGGAAAAGCAGGGCGCATTTTGGGCTTGGGGATTCCATCCTTGGTTGCTCTAATCGGATTCCACCTGGAGGCACTTGATCGGGATGGTGGTTTTCCTTGGAAAGCCGGGCTTTCTGGACACCCGTTTCTCCCTTGCGCACCCCATTTCCCATGTGGTTTTGCAATGTAGACAACCCATAGCACACATATTGTGGATTGAACCCATTGTGTGTACTTTTTCTGGGAAATTAAATCAAAATCGTTGGGTTTCTGAACGGTACGAGAAGCAAATGGGTTTCGTAGCCATCCACACGTCCAGTTGGTACCCATTCTCCCTCTCAAAAACTGGATCCGGAGGCCCGAACTGGCATAACCCAAAAGGAAGCCCGAAATTCATAGGACATGGGCCGTTGAAACAGTCTGACCAGGCCTTGACGCTCTCGCAGGCGCCACCAGCGACAGGCGCTCGCGTGCCTTGAGACCTGGGCCGCGGAACTGGCGGAGGACGAGCAGCTGCAGGCGCCAAAATCCAAACAAACCATCGCGGGTTGGCATCACCTTCGCCATTGAAATGGAAAAACGCAACCAATCATTTAAGTGCTGTCTGAATCGTTCTGCGGTAACGGATTTTTGGAGATGACCTTTTTGTTTGAAACGGGTCTGCTTTTTCCGCATTGGGCCCACGAAAAGTTGAACAACTTTTTGCAGGGGGGTCAGCAGCAACCAAGTTAGCATAGCTTTCTGAGTTGCGCTTCGGACGTTCGTCTCTTTTTGCGTGGGCCATTTTAGTGATAACCAAAAAGTTTGGCTACTTGTTCTGACCAATCCCCTTGGCCGCCTAGACTTTGGGCTTCCATGTCGCACTGCCGTTCAGAAACCTGGAAATGATCCGATCCCCCCTGTAAATACCGACAAGCAAAGGCTTCCCGTCGTTTCCAGGTGGTGCGAAATGGATTTTGTCCATCCAGAGTATTGTTGGTCTTTAAAACCTTGTGGAATTTTTGGTTTCGCTATGCCTAATGCAAAGCAAAGGGAATAAACAACTACACATATTCTTTCCCAGTGAGAGAGTTTGCAAAGGTAAACTTGACTCTTGCATCGTTGTTGACTCGTTTGATGGTTGAGTAGAGTTCAAATTCCAACAGGTGGAATTCGTTAGAACACCCTTTCAGCGCATAGGGGATGGTCCTTACCCAGACCCTAGTGGGCGGTCTCTGTTTTGAGGAGTATATACACAGATATTAATGTTCGTATTTGCTTCACGGACCTCAGGAGATCTCCATTGACTCAAGGTCCCAATTGCAAGCGGGGAATGAGTTGACTTTGGGGACCTTTCGGATGGACCCCAACGATGACTCAAAGACATGGACTGCGCAAGTTCTCCGAGGTGGTGGGCCTTCCTGCACCGGACTCCAACCTCTCCGAGGCCCGGCCGGCCATTGATTCGAGCCTGAGTTTTTTCAGCGCCCTTTTCACCTTGTCAAGGGAAGCCAAAAAGGAAAGCCGCTATTTGCTGTTGGCTTTGCGTTAAAATCACATACCACAAAACTAAAGCTATTCAGAGCCCCGCACTGCATTGGAATCATTGGAATCATTGGAATCTAATTGCGTCCGCGTGCTCAGACGTGTTGGCGTTGTGTCCGCAAAGGCGCGAACCTGGAAGCCCATTGGTCCAGCGGTTGCAATCTCAGAGGCAAACAAAGCAATTTGTTGCAAGGTTGCGATCCATGGGCGTGTCTTTTTTGGGGGGACCCCCAACCTTTGTTGTGTTCGATTGATTTTCCTGTAGAACTCAAAAAACGATACATCCATGTTGCAGGTGAGACAAGCAACAGCTGACAGCACTTGTTTGTGTCGGATGAAGTGTGGTGGACCGCCCATGGATCTTGCGGGTCTGATCTTGGTACCTGAAAGATCCAAGCATCACTGTGGGGGCAGGTGTCAAATCAAGTGTGAAAAGCGCCCTTTTTTCTGCCCAAGGGTGGGCCACAGCGAAGCCCTTCCTTGTTTTGGCGGAAAAGGGTGATACTGCCTAAGAAGCCCTCAAACGATGACTCCCCTGTGAATACCTGGATTTCGTGCATCCACAGTATCGACGGAGCCAGGTGGCGTGGCTGGAAAGCGACTGCCCGGACAACCACCGACCCGGCGGTGCCTGCAAGGCCAGAGGGGACGGAGAGCCTGGAGTCCGTCCACTCGGGTCTCACCGAGCATGGACCGAGAGAGGTCCATGGTCGGATGGATTTTTTGTCTCTGCTCTCCAATCGAAGTTACCAAGGCCCGTCGAGTTTCATTGGGACGGATTTGGAGGGCGCAAGGTTCAGTCAACTGAACGCGTTCTCAAATCTGAGAGAAGCTTGTTTGTTTTGAGGCTTAAAAAAAGTGAAACGGCTGTTCTTTTTCCAACGTTCATGGAAGAGCAAGCCTCGAGTCAGATCCAAACTTGGATCTTCATTGAGTATGTCGGTTTTGACATAGAACCATGGCGACCTACGCACTGAGTTTGAGTGCATTTTGGACGAGTGCTAACTTGCGTTGCATCTCATTCCCATTCTTCAGGCTTAGACTGGGAGCTTATATTTGTCCGCTTTAACCAATGTGAGAACCTCAAAGGCTGATCGTATCGGTAGATGCACAAAGGGCACCATCTCGGACCCTTTGGGGTTCTCATTTGCCACAGGCGTAGGTTTAACCCATAAAACTCGTAAACTAGGGCTCATGCCCGTGTCTGCCAGGATGCCGCGGGACTGCGACGCGCCCACGAACTCGGGGCGGATTGGGCGGTGCTGCTGGGCGCCGACAACTACGCGCCCCGTCTTTCAAGAGATGCTGGCTCGTCTTTTTCCCACCCCCTGAATTCATGGACTTTAAACTTCTTAGAAGGACCTTTGTAGTGATAAATAACAAGTTCGGACTTTTTTGGACAGTCACTCAGGAAGTGAATGTTTCAGGCTACCCTTTTTGGCGTGGTCTCAAAGGGAAAGCAACATACATCCATTTTTTGGTATATCTTCAGACAAAGCCATGTGATCCTTTGTTGCTTGATGGGCCTCCCTGGAAGAAGCAAGCAACAGCTGCAGAAGCCCTTTTTATTGGTGGGATGACACTTTCTTCTGTTCCGTCGTTGGATAGGTTGCATTATACGGTTGATGTTTGTCGTTAGCCCTGCTGGTGACGTCATTTACATGGGGAATTGCGTACACTATCAGCAGTCAACAAGAACGATCACGTTGTCCCTTCTCGGTGATTAGGTTAGCACCTGCTTTCACTTTTTCAGGGCAGGGGACTGTGCACTGCTTCAACTGCGCGCTCTTCTGCTGTTTTTGAGGGATGTGTGTAAACGTTCTAAATGCATACCTGTGTTTCACAAAAAGGCAAAAGCCTCAAAGAAAGACGCAGGCAGTTGTTCCATTGGATCGATCACGCCTGCCCAACCCAAAATCAAAACTCGAGAAACAAAAGAAACCAGAAACACAACAGGAACAAGCAAACAACAAGTAAATCCTCAGACACTTTTTCTAGAAGTGATGTAAATTGAGTATGAACCGCGCTTCGAAACACTGCTTTACAGCTTTTGTTCTGACCGTAGTAGTACTGGGGGCTAGGTTCACTGCACGGTTGTTGGACCTCTGAATTATGTCCTTATGAAATTATTCTTAATATGTTTAACACATGCTATTCAATTTCCAGCTACCTTTAAAAAGAATCTGGTTAGTACAGAATCCAATGAGAGTTCTTTGGTAACTTAGAATCTAAACAACTTCACTTTGTGTCAAGTCTTGTTTTGCACAGAAGTTACTGTCCAATGAACTTGTCTTTACAAATCAGTATCAGTAGTGTTTTAAACACAATATAGTCACAAGCTCAACACAAGCAAAGCAAGTGCAAGGCATGTTTCGACCTCTCAATTGTGTCCTTATGAAGTTATGCTTTGCATATTTATCGAAAGGAAAGAAACCACTCAGGAATTCTATTTAAATAGCGGCAATTCCATGATAATCAAAGCAAGTGCAAACAACTGCACACAAAGCAGGTCAAATAGGGCACGGCCACAGCTGCCAGCCCTCCATACTTTGGGATAGTTCCACCATGGAATCTGACTGGGTGCAGAGATTGGAGTCTTTTGGGCCAGACACCCAAAGACCGGAGCATTCTCTCGGACTTGCCTGGCGTTTTTTTTCTTGGCAAGTCTTTGGTGTGCCAAGAGCGCTCTCCAAAACTGAAAGCTGGACCTGGCCTCCAAAGATCACAAGGCGGAGTTTCCCCTTGACTCAAAAACCTCTTGGAAACTTCGTGTTTTTAGGGCTGTGTCTCCAAAACATCGGGTTTTTAAAAACATCTGGTCCGGCCGTGGTGCGAAAAGCGCGAAACCGATCGTTCGGGGGCCAGGTGCTCACCCAACACCTCCGACAAGCGCTGCAGGACTTGGAGCCCTCCAGGCGAGCCGAAGCCTTTTGAAATCAACCAGCCAACGGGTGAGTCCTCAACGAGACAACACCCCCCAAAACAAAAGAATGAGGCAGTTTCGATCTTTGTTTCGGGAGAAAAGCTTGCAACTGGCACCATTCCTCCATGGCTTCGTCATCCACGCATGCAGAAGTGTGTGCCACCAACCCAACTGCACAACCAAACACTGGCGGCCGCGTGGAAACTTGCTGGCTCGGTCGGCGGCAAATTCGTCGGACTCATCCCCAAGCTGAGCCATCTCCTAAAAGGTTTCCTTGATCCGTGGCTTCATTCCCAAACTACAATATATTTTCCTGTAACTTTATTTCCCTATAACTTCCATTTGCTTATGGTTGCCCTGTTGTTCTTGAAAAAAAAATATCACTACTGGAAAGATGTTCTCTTTTCTCCAGAAGCCAATGGAATAGTATGGAGAGGCATTCGGTGCATTCCCAAAGCCCTTCATTTCAGAGAAAAAATATATTATACATATATATATATATATGACATACATGTTACATAAACAAAAAGACAAAAAGGAAGCCGAATGCATGTTGGACCTGCGTCGCATGGAGGCCGGTGATCTTCGCCGTCACAGGCTGCGGCCACGAGAAGTGCTCCGGGGGTTTGTGCGGCGGGGGCGGGCAGATCTTTAGCCGCGGGGCGCTGATGCAGATCTTCCAGAAGAGCTTCCAGCAGGAGAGGCAGGGTTCCGTTTTTTGACTATCTTGGGGCAGACTTAAACCCAAGGGTTTCCCTTTTGGGGGAATCAATCTATCACCCCTGAGTTTAAGTCTGCCTTGGGGTAGTCGAACAACAGAACCCTGAGGAGAGTTGGCTCATGTCTTGGGGGAGGGCGATATACTGTTGGAACTTGGTTTGTCAACCTCTCCCCCTCCAAGTCGGAAAGGTTTGGGAAAACCGGAGTTTGGGCTATCTGATCCTCGGATCAATTCGGACCTGGCAAGTCCTCTCCGGTCCTTCCTGTGTGACCCCTGGCCAATAGGACTGTGGGAAAGGAAGAGAAAACGGTGGTTTCTTCGCTTCCATGGAGAGAAACTTGATTACTCAGAGGGTTTTTTGTGTTATTCGGGGGGCCAGCCTTGAAGGGGGGCACCTTTACGAGCTTGTCAAACCTTGTTTTGTTAAACAAATCGTAATAAGAAATGTGATGTTTCTGGCTAGCCGTTTTTGTTTGATTTTTGAATGGCAACCCCTGAGGCTTTGAAGGGAGTCAGCATTGGCAAAAGTATTGACAATAGGTTTGGCAACTTAAACTTCAGTTGTTTGTATTTTTTGAATTTGGGGCTGGACAGGGGCGTTTTCAATTCAGAAGGGTTCTGGAAGGTGCCCAACAAAAATTAAGAGGGGTCTTTTGGCCAAACCTTGCGGGCGCCTTGAAAGTAGTATTGGTCGGCAGTCGGCTGGGAAAATCAGGCGTCTCTATTTGTTTAGTCACTGGCAACTCAAAACTTCCACTCTACCAATTCAGGGTGTTTTACCTTATTTCAGGTTTTTGAACCTTTCTGAAGATTGCAGATACGTCCTGTCCCAGGGTTTTCACAAAGGATCGTTCAAAAAAAAGACGCCCTCATCCATAAACAGCGAGCATACTCTTTAAAGAGTAGCTTTTCACAACAAGCCATGATGTAAGCATATTACGCTGCTACTCGGAATGGACATGGAAAAACTGGAAAGTTGACCTGGCTTGTGGGGGAACTTAGAGGAAGGGGGCAGTAGTCCTCGTTGGAAAATTGGGCATTATAAGGGAAAGAGAGGTGAGTGTCGTTCATACCCTTGCACGGTGTTTCAAGAAAAAGCCAAAAGGATGGAGTGGCAAGACGGAGTCTCTTTGGACAGTACCTTTTTCAGGGTTGTTGCAAGCTCTTGGCCCGCTGTGTTTAGAACAAAGATGAGCTTCCAGCCCTGCATGGTTTGTGCAATGGTATGTGTGTGTGTGTGCTTCAGGATTTGCTCACAGTCCTCAATTCGTCCCAGTCGTTGTCCAAATGGCCAAAGGTTAGGTTCCTGCGCAAGAGGCCCACGCCCTTGCGCAGGTGAAGCTTTTACACGAAGCGATTGTCGCCCCATCGTTGGGCCCCGTTCAGCGCATCCCAAAAACCGAGAAACAATGGAGTCACTCTCTCCATCAGCACGAGCGTTAACGTCAGGCAGTGCAAGACTGTGTTTTTCTCCAGCCAGACAATGTTCCCAGCCCAACAGATGTCAATAGGCTATATCCCCCGCCTCTCAGGGTCCCAGACCAAAGGAGGAGCTTTAACAACGGATGGTTACAGATGATTTAGCCGGATGTTGGCCGACTTTGTTCTATCTTCAACCTTCACCCAGGTCCCTGGCTGTGATCCAAACAGCTGTTTCTCAATTTGTGGGGGCACGGGTTGCCACTTCTGGTCGCCCAAGTCGGGTGCAAAAAAGAGAGTCTGCCGCTCGAGGACTTCGAGGCGGCCTTGCACCTGTCCAGCGGCTGGGGAGATGTGGCCAACTGCCGGCTGGCGAGGAAGCACAAAGTCCCCGTGAGGCGCGGGGCGAAAAAAGCGAGGGGGGACGGCGGTTTTTTTTTATGAAAACACTCTACAAGACGCAGGGGTGGAAAAATCCCCCAAACCACCAATCAACCAAGCAGAGGGTTGGACCAAAGTGGAAGACAAAGCGTGGATTTGTTTAGGCCAAGGAAAGTGAAACTGCTACCGCCGAAATCCACGCACACAAAAAGAAACCAAACAGTGTTGGTCAATTTTAGTCACAGTTGTCCCCAACGGGTTGCATGTGGGAAAAGGGGTGAAAGGGGTGTGAGAAGTTTCGATCATACCCCGCTCGAAAATGCGAACCATGTTCTTCCACTAAGCCTGTGATTTAACTTCATTTAGTGTGCATTTTGCCTTCTTGGCCCAACAAAAGGTCGCCGTGCTTGAAAATTGAGAATCCACCCTCCCCTTCAATGAACGAGTGGAGTTCTACAAGTTCAACTGTATTGCAGGAATAACCATCCACCCATTCAAATGGGCCGCAATCAACACCCGGGTGGACGAAGGTTAGCGGACAATCCCAGCCATAAATCGGTGCAGCCGCCTTCTCAATTATTTACAGGGTTCTGGGTAAACAATTTGTTCATATCGGGTTTTGGTTATGATTCAAATGGGCGCTGCACCCACTTCCTTTTGCGGTGGGGGTCGGAATGGAACTTCCTTGTTTGAACTGGTAGGCTGCGTGACCATTGCTTGAGCAATGATAGCTTCTTGGACCAAGGGGGTGAAGATTTTTTTTTCTCAGCAAGCTATGCATGGAGTCCATGTGTCAACTGTGAGAGTCCCTACTATGGTCCATGAGCAAGCCGCAACTTGGCTTCCACAACCTTTGAGTATTTGTGCAGCCGTGGTGAAGTGCTTGGACCGTCAGGCAACTGGACGGCCTGCATGCCTGGCAGACAGGAACTAGTATCAGGCGCGGATTGCACATTCCTCAATATGGGGTGTTTCTAAGAATTGGGGGCCCATTTTATGGCTTGTTTCCTTCTGGCTTCCCTTTAAAACCCTCAAAAAAAATCCGCCATTTTGAGAAACCCCCATATGGGAAAAATGGGTTGTAGGACCCAAACGGACATTCCTGGATTCACATGAGCTATATGGCGGCTTCGAAGCGGAATACAGAAATACTCATGGTCTGTCTGGAAATGTTCTTGGGTTGAACATGTCAATAGTCCAATGCCGAAAAGTCTTCTGGCCTGGCACCCATTCACTTTGGATTCACTGTTCCGATTTTATCCTAGACGGAGGTTTCTCATTTCGGAGGAAACTGGTACAGGTGGGCACGCGAACAAGAAACCTTTTCAAAAAATTGGGTTGAGGTGGCTTCTGCACTGGAATGGTGAACTGAGGATTGCGCAGCCTTGCGTCACAATCATGGGGAGGGTTGACGAAGATTGACAAAGATTGGAATTTCAGCCCATTGCATTTTTTCCGGGCGATGATTGACCCTGCCAAGCATTAGATTGGAGCCAGCCGTCTGTGTTTTCAGCTTTGCTCCGGATCACCAAATGGTGCTGCAAATTCTCCCATTGTCCCTCACAACTCGATCCAGCGCTTCGCTGAGTTTCCTTGGTAAACTCAAGAGTCCCCTTCTGACTGCCGACTCCTCCCAGCATTTGGCTGTGAATTTTAATGGGGAACCCCTCAAAAGCGATTGGTGGACATATGTCCACCAAAGGGCCCCTTTAATAAAACGTATGCCCATGTTTTGTTTTCGAAGGAGTTGGGACCTGACCTACCACTACGTGGGTTTCGAGCAGATGCATCACCTGCACCAGCTGGCCCAGAAGCCCCCCCCTGTCTCCGCGCTGGAGATTCGGGCTGAGAAGGAGGCCCTGATCTGCGTGGGAACGAGGGGCTTCATCACATTGGAACCGCCACTTGGGAAACCAAGCACGAGCATTGCCAAAGCCCAGCCAACAAGGCCCCACTTTCCAATCTCAACCAGGTGTCTCTCCCCCCCTCCCAGGTTTTGCACCTTGTGCGGGTGCCTTTTAGACTGATGTTCTTGACATCTGGAACTGGTGCCCGCGCTGCCCAACATGTTTCTTTTGCCGTTGCCCAAAGCGAATCGACCTTTTGGCCTTTTGGTTTGCCGATTTTCGTCGCCAAAAAGGCTAACCTTTTGGTTCATGATCCTTGGGCAAGTGACGTAGGATTACTTCCGCGACAAGCGTGCCTTTGTCGCGGAAGAGAATCTCCGGCGGCAACGGGATATGTGAACGCGCGCAGACAAAGTTGTCGGCCTGGCCCCCACACCAAGGTGTGCGGGTGAGGCGCGGCAATCTACAGTTACATTGGTGTCACCTGCACACCAATGCATTGTCCTTGCAAGTGGGTGTTTTCCGGAAATTGGGGGGGGGACCGTCCTGATTTGGTTTGATTTTGCATTCCTCTAAAACTGGCCAAAAGTGAGGTCCCCGCCCTAGCTTTCTGGAAAGGCCCATTTTTCACCATGAATTCGCTTCTGCCAGCTGAGCTTGGCAAGGAGGTGCGCACTGCTTGCTATTGTTTGATCTCAGCCACGCCTTTCGATCTTTCGGATGCTTCTTGCAGTCGCATTTTGACACGTGCCATTTGGAGTGAGTTGGATTGAATTCACATGGAGGTGCTCATCTCAAGGGCCATGCGCGCTTCCAGGGCGTGTCGATGGAAGCCAGGTTTCGAAAGCAAAGAAAGGAAACTTGAGGGAACCCCATCCATCTCGGGGCTGGCCCCAGGAGACGCTCCTTGCGCTTTCGACATGGCTCTCTCTCGTGCGGTGTCAAGTGAGAAATGGCGCTTGAATTCCGCCGGTCTCCCATTCCAACCTGGAAGTCCCTGATCGGGGGGTTGAGAAAGTTAGCAACGGTTGGAGTCGAGCCCGGCCAACATGTCCCAAATTTGGCTTGTATCATTTTTTGTTGAAAGTCAACCCAAAAAAGATGTTTCCTTTGACCCCTGAAACAATGGAAAAACACTCAAAAAGCCAACTTCCACCCTGCCTTGAATAAAACGGAACAGCATGACCGCTCAAGGAGCGTTTTGTTAGCGGAGGTCGCAGACCTTTTCAACTGGGCAGAGAAGGTTCTTTCTTTTTCTTGTGGGACTGAGAGGCGGTTGGCTGATGACATTTTTTTAGGGAAGTGGTCCCTCATGTCATTGTCGTTTTCTCTTAGCGCCCCGAAAACGGATTCTGCTGTTGGGGACCTTCCTTTTGAGCGCCCATTGTTTTCAGGGATTCCCGATTCGGGGCCTTTCCAATTACGACGAAACAAACATGTTTTCCTGTTACTACCCGCCAGCCAGCGGGTATCTCAGAAGCTTCGAAGCTTCCAGTTGCTTAATATTGTTTGTTATTTCCTGTGTGGGTTCTAAGCAGAATCTGTCACTACTGGACTGGATTTTTCCATGGAGTGAAAAAGCAAATGGTCGCAAAGGTAGCAGTCATTTACCATTCTTAGGGCTAGCTTCCCTAGTCTCTCTAGGAAACCAAATCTTTCCAGAAAACCACCAAAAACCCAGGTTGGAAACTCCGATCGGTTGTTGAAAAGAAGGATGCTTGAAAAGAATGGGCAACGAATCAGCCAGAAAGATTCTGCCCATCTCCCATTTCGCAAGAAACCATACCAAAAGCGGTGGTTTCCTTTAAGGGACCCTTGGGTTCATTCCGCTTCACATTTCCGATTTCGCACGGATTGCAAATCAACCTCCATTCGCCTTCGACAACTGAAGGCAGCTTCACGGCGGAGAACGCCGTAGGCGTTGTGGAGGCCAACCTGGCTATCGACGAGGAGTTCGATCAGGCATGTAGCAACTCTAAAAGACACCCCCAGATGCCAAACAGGTTGCTTTGTCAAGGGTGTTGGGCGTATTTTTGCACTTCACCATGCAAAATGCTCTGGGCAGAGGGTTGACCACGCAAAAATTGAATCCCGTAGTTCCGTTCCTCTTGCGGGTAGACTGAGGTCCCGTCTTGAAACATGATGTGGCAGGGGCTCATTACCCTCGGGACATACCCAATTAACTTGCAGAGCCTCGCCGCTGAGAGGTGATGCGCCGCATGAACCGACAGAAGACAGCAGTCATCCGGGAGTAGATGAGTTGCATTCCGTGCATTCGTTGGTCGCTTGATTTGCAAAATGTGTTTTGGCCTGAATTATGCTTGGATAATTGCGGAAAGCTGGCCTCCAACCTGACAGTCTGCCTCACCATTACAAAGTTGCTAAGGTGATGTTGGCACTTCAAATGTGTCGTGATAAGACAAATATACTATTCTGATTTTATATATTTGTTTAAGTAGTACATAAAAACAAGACAGAGCCCACGAACCCGAATGCACATCACTTTGCGCAAACCCCGGAAAATAATTAGAGAGAACATTTTTCGGTATGAGCCAATGGGGCTCGCAGTCAAGCCTACTGCGCAAACTATGTTTTTCAGCTTGTAAAACTGTACGTTGCGAGCAACACTTGTTGCTACAAAGCTGCGATTTTCAATTTTGAGCTGGACTTGTACTACAAAGTTGGAGCTGGTACTTCGCGCACTAGACTTGCGCTACACAGTTGCGATTGTCCAGCTAGAGCTGAAAACCTGTACTTTGCGTGCTAGACTTGTACTACAAAGTTGCGATTTACAAGCTGGAGCTACAAAAGCCTGTACTTTGCGTACTATACTTGCACTTCAAAGTTGCGATCTTCCAGCCAGAGCTGGAAACTTGTACTTCACGTACTATACTTGCACTACAAAGTTGTGACTTTCCAGCTAGTGCTGGAAACCTGCACACTTCGAGCACTAGACTTGTCAAAGTTGCGATTCTCCAGCTAGAGCTGCAAACCTGCACTTTGCGTACTAGACTTGTACTACAGAGTCGCAATTTACAGCTGGAGCTGGAAACCTGTACTTCGCGTACTAGACCTGTACTACAAAGTCGCGATTTTCCAGCTAGAGCTAGAACCCTGTACTTCGCGTACTAGACTTGTGCTACAAAGTCGCGATTTTCCAAAAAACCTGTACTTCGCGTACTAGACTTGCAAAACAAAGTCACGATTTTCCAGCTGGAGCTGGAAACTTGTACTTCACGTACTAGACTTGTGCTACAAAGTCGCGATTTTCTAGCTAGAGCTAGAACCCTGTACTTCGCGTACTAGACTTGAAAAGGTTACGATTTTTCCAGCTAGGGCTGGAAATCTGCACTTTGTGCGCTAGGCTTGTACTACAAGGTTGTGATTTCCAGCTAGAGCTGAACTTCGCGTACCTGCGCTTCGCGTACTAGACTTGCACTACAAAGTCCCGATTTCCCAGCTGGAGCTGGAAGCCTGTACTTCGCACGTTAGACTGGTACTACAAAGTTGCGATTTTCGAGCTGGAGCTGGAAACCCATACTTCGCGTACTAGACTTGTCAAAGTTACGATTTTCCAGCTAGGGCTGGAAACCTGTACTTCGTGCGCTAGGCTTGTACTACAAGGTTGTGATTTCCAGCTAGACCTGGACTTCGCGTACCTGTGCTTCGCGTATTAGACTTGTACTACAAAGTCGCGGTTTTCAAGCTGGAAGCCTGCACTTCGCACGTTAGACTGGTATAACAAAGTTGCGATTTTCGAGCTGGAGCTGGAAACCCGTACTTCGCGTACTAGACTTGTCAAAGTTACGATTTTCCAGCTAGAACTGGAAACCTGTACTTTGTGCGCTAGGCTTGCACTACAAGGTTGTGATTTCCAGCTAGAGCTGGACTTCGCGTGCCTGTGCTTCGCGTACTAGACTTGTACTACAAAGTCGCGATTGTCAAGCTGCAAGCCTGCACTTCGCACGTTAGACTGGTACTACAAAGTTTAGTTGTGATTTTCAAGAAACCTATACTTCGCGCGCTACACTTGTGCTACAAAGTTGCGTTTTTTCCAGCTAGAGCTGGAAACCTGTACTTCGCGCACTAGAAATGCACTACAAAGTTGCGATTTTCTAGCGCGTACTGGAGTTCTGAGCGACACGTTTGAGCATAACTTCTGATTGACACTTCTGAGCGACACTTTTGAGCGACACCTGATCAACACTTCTGAACCACACTTCTTCTGATCGACACTTCTGAACAACACTTCTGAACCACACTTTTTCTGATGGACACTTCTGAGCAACACTTCTGAGCGACACTTTTTCTGATTAACTTTTCTGAGCAACACTTCTGATCGACACTTGTGAGCAACACGTTTGATCCGCACTTCTGACTGACACTTCTGATCGATAGCTTGGGCAATAATGCTGAACCACACGTCTGATTGACACTGATGAACAACACTTCTGACCCAAATTTCTCATCGACATTTCTGAGCAACACTTCTGACCAATACTTCTCAGCCACACTGCTCATCGACACTTCTGAACGACACTTCTGAGCAACACTGCTGAATTGACACTTCTGAGCGACACTTCTGAGCAACACTTCTGATCGACACTTCTGACCGACACTTTTGAGGAACCCTTCTCATCAACACTTCTGAGCAACACTTCCGACCCACACTTCTCATTGACACTTCTGAGCGATACTTTTGAGCGACATCTAATTGACACTTCTGAGCCAGAGCAACATTTCTGAACGACTTTTTTTCTGATCCTTTTTTGTGAGAAACACTTCTCATTGACACTTTTGAGCGACACCTGACCAACACTTTTTCTGATCGACGCTTCTGAGCAACACTTCTGAACGAAACGTTTTCTGATCCTTCTTTGTGAGAATTACCTCTGATTAACACTTTTGAGCGATACCTGACCATGATTAAAGCATTTAGATGGTTGTTTTTCCCGAAAGCATGGCGAAGGGTTCTTCCGCTGGGTTCACTTGAGTTGTTCTCATGAGAGTCATTACAAGGTCATTGTCATTGCAAGGAATCATCATCAGGAAAGTCATTGCAAGGAGTCATTGCAAGGAGTCATTGCAAGGAGTCATTGCAGTCATTGCAAGGAGTCATTGCAAGGAGTCATTGCAAGGAGTCATTGCAAGGAGTCATTGCAAGGAGTCATTGCAAGGAGTCGTTGCAAGGAGTCATTGCAAAGAGTCATTGCAAGGAGTCATTGCAACGAGTCATTGCAAGGAGTCATTGCAAGGAGTCATTGCAAGGAGTCATTGCAAGGAGCCATTGCAAGGAGTCATTGCAAGGAGTCATTGCAAGGAGTCATTGCAAGGAGTCATTGCAAGGAGTCATTGCAAGGAGTCATTGCTAGGAGTCATTGCAAGGAGTCATTGCTAGG